GGAGAAGGAGGCTTTGGCAGTGTGTACTGGGGCCAACTATGGGATGGATCGCAAGTATGAGTATGCTTTAAATTTTATTTATTTACTTATAGTTACTATTGTTGTTGAAATGTCGTATCAAATCTGCTGCATTTTGTGTCTTATATTCTATGGTTGTTCTTGCTTATTTTAGCCACAAATGGGGTGACGATAAGAAAGTCTCACATTATCTAAAAAGGACACATTGAGAAACATATAAGTCCGCAAACCCAATACCTCAAGGCTTTTTTAGAGTATGGTGTCAACAAATTCACACAGAGTTCATTAACCATTTCACATCATCGATTGTGTTGACAAATTCACATTCTTAACGGCTCTGTGGGGTCTGCTTTGATAGTTTGAAACATCTCAAGAAATTTCCTATATCTTTTTCAGTCGTACTTGACAACTGGTAATGATGAGTCTTCCAACCAATTAATATGATACCTTGATGTATGATAAAAATTACAATATTCAATTATTCATTTTTATTCCTAGCAGTTCCATTGAACTAAAATGGCAAATGGTTGTATATTAATCAAGTGAGTGAAGTTGATTTACCTTCCTTAATGGATTTTCATTTAGATTTCAAGGATTTTGATTTATCTAGTGACGTGATTTCTAAAGAATATGATCCAAAGTTTCTGGGGTTATTGGTGCAAAAACCTCTGTTCAAAACCTTTTACCTAGCCCTTGAGAATGAATCTACTGTAATATGTTTAAAAAATCTTGCCATTTCAGATTGCGGTGAAAAGTTTGAAGTTTCAGAGCAACATAACTGAAACATTTACGGTTGAACTTGAAATCTTGGCAAGAATACGACACCAGAATCTTCTCAGTCTTCGTGGCTACTGTGCAGAAGGACAGGAACGGTTAATTGTGTATGAATATATGCAAAATCTGAGTCTCCACTCTCATCTTCACGGACATCATTCATTCGAATGCTCTCTGGATTGGAATCGTCGGATGAATATCGCAATTGGTTCCGCTGAAGGAATTGCGTAAGTACTAACCTCACCTTTCTTATGAACTTCTTCCACTATCGTTTATTATCCATAAATCTTATTACTTTCAGGTACCTTCACCACCAAGCAACACCACGTATCATCCACAGGGATATTAAATCAAGCAATGTGTTGCTAGATTCTAATTTCAAGGCCAGGGTTGCTGATTTTGGGTTTGCTAAGTTGATCCCTGATGGGGCAACACATGTGACTACAAAAGTTATGGGAACTCGTGGCTACCTTGCACCAGAATATGCTATGTTAGGTAAAGCAAACGAGAGTTGTGATGTGTACAGTTTTGGTGTTCTTCTTCTAGAACTCGCTAGTGGCATAAGACCAACCGAAATGCTTGATTCCACTGTGAGGAGATCGATAGTTGATTGGGCATTGCCATTGGTTTGTGAGAAGAAATTTAATAAAATTGCTGATCCAAGACTAAATGGTAACTATGTGAAGGAAGAGCTTAAAAGAGTTGTTTTAGTTGCTCTTATTTGTGCTCAGGATCTACCTGAGAAGAGACCATCCATGCTTGATGTGGTAGAACTACTCAAGGGAGAGTCTAAGGATAAATTTTCTGATTTAGAGAACAGTGACATGTTCAGAAGTCGTCTTGCTGCTGCTGGAACTTCAGAGGCTAAAGATAGTTTAGACTACATCTCAGAAGAAAAAGAATTAGAACATCCGCTGAGAAAGAATGCTTCGTGTTTTTTTGCTATTGTTGCAATTTTCAAGTCAACACTCGAAGCCCTTTTTTAGATTGGCTTGGGTATGTTTGCTGCATGTGTAATTTGATAGAACTTTTCGGAATCAACAAGTTTGGAAAACGATTTTTAACAAATTTTAAACCATGACTATGTGCAACAGAACTTCTTCTAGTGTTGTTTCTTTCACCATCTAAACTTCTATATGTCCAAAATGTTTCAAAACCAAGCTCTTGGACAGGTTCATCAACAAGTGTTGCAACATGTCTTACAGCATTCTCTTTGTTCTACCAATCTTTTCTTGTTCCCGAGTAGCTTCTGCAACCATCTACTTTTAAGTTGGTAAATGATGTTTGTTTCGGATATGAGATTGAGGTCTCTTACTCAAAGCATCTCAAACTCTCTTGAAGATAAGATGGACTCCCTAATGGTCCTTGTTAATTAAAGTTATGTTTTTCACTCTTCCTATTTTTTGTTTAAGCTCTGCGGGTGGGTACTTAGTAGTTCGGGTATAGGATTGAGATCCCTTACTTCAAATACTTCAAGTTATTTTGAAGGCCAAATAGATTCCCTAATGGTCCTCCTTAATCCAAATTATGTTATTCCCTCTTCCTGCTCCTTGTTCAAGTCGTGCGGGTCTATTACTATATGGGTAGAGAAATTCTACCTTTAAAGAGAACGACCTTGATGGACGATCTGAATAAACGGCTTGGTGGACAATTAGGATGGTCGATCTGGATGGATGAAAGGGTAGTATGAAGATGATCATCATAAAAAACATTGGCATTGGATTGAGCTTATAATCAAAGTAAAGATTATTCTTTTTTTCAAAACTTTCGAGGGAAATACAATTATATCAACATCATCTACGATAGGATACAAATCATTCTTTATTTTCTTCCTTATCATGATATAGTACATGTGATGATGTAAAGTGAAAGAATCGATTAAGAAAGAAAAGAATAATAATAAAATTAAAGAATAAAGTTAATTGGATAAAAAGATAAAAAGATATATATATATATATATATAATTAATAATTTTATTTATTATATTAATATTATTGTTTTTATTTAAATGAAATAATTCAATATTTAATCTTTTTAATTTTTATATGTTTATAGAATATTAAAAAAACTTCAAAATACTTTTAAAGAAGTTACCATGTTCATCATTTTTTCGGAAAAGGAAATTGAAGCTGATAAGGTAAACCTTTAATATTCATAAAATCACAACAATACGAACTGTTAGATAGATAGTACAAATTTTAAAAACAACATTGATGCTCCTAACTAACAAGATTTGTGATAATAATTAAAAAATGATTTAAATAATTAGTCCGAAACAAACTTACAAATATAATAAGACCGTTTTGGCTTGACTTAAAAGGTTAATAATTAAAAATATAATAATAAATAACATACATTTAAATTTAAATCATATATATTAATGAAATGATATCATCTTAATTTTTGAGGTTAGAACATATAGAATTTTAAAGGTTTTGGTTTTTCCAGGGAGAATTTCCGACAAAGGAAACGCTGGTACCCGACGCGCTGGCAAGCACGTGGAGAGTTCCGTTTTCCTTTGTGGCATAGCACTATAAATAATTCTCAAGTTTCCACACTTTTCCTCCTCCTGGAACAGCGCAGAACCTAACCCTCACGAAAACCCCTTCGATTCCGATAACTCTCGTTCTTCCGAAACCCTAACCCCAGTTCGTTGGGATTGAATTGGAGGAGATCGTGAAAGGATTGTTTGAAATTGGTGGTGTCAGCGTTGAAGAACGATGTCTGCTGCTGTGTGCGGAAGCAAGAGATCTTTCTTCGAAGAGCTTCCTCCTTCTCCACCACTCTCCAAGAGGCTCCGTTGTTCCTCTTCACCGATTCGCTTCCCTCCCCTCTCTCTCATCGACCAACTTCGCCCGCTCTTTCCGCACATGGACGACCTGGTATCTATTCTTTTCTTTCTCAGTTTTACTTTTACGTGACTTTGAATCCACTTACGGTTACACTTTACGGTTTTACTAATCTTTTAAACTTGGTAGTTTATAGTTTAGTTGCAAGGTTAGAATTGTAGTTTATCATATTGTTGTTATCAGTTACCGTGTTTGGTTGTGCTTTCCCTTTTTCTTTTGTGCTGCAAAATAATTAGTGTGTAAATTTGGCTTGAATCGAGAGAGGGAGTTTCTGTCCTTGATTTATTTTCATACTTGAGAATGAAGTCGGCAGGTAGTCCTGAAGTTCAGTATGTATGAACTCAAGAGGTCTACTATCTTGGATTGGTAATACGTATCTAACGAACATGTCAATCAATATCCGATTGACTGGTTTGAGGTTATCGACAAAAAGATTTGTCCAAACGTCCCTCATTTGAGCTACTTTGCTTCTTTTTGTGGAAATGCCCCTCATTTTTCTCTCTTGAGTTTTGGGAGTATCCTTACTCATTTACCATGTTTCCCCTTTTCTGGGGTGTCATCAATGTTGTCACGTGCGAGGAGAGGAAGAGGTAATACTAACTGTGCATCAAGTAGGTGCCATGGGCGGTATAGAATATCAGTTTGGCCTGGAATACCGTGATTGGGGCTAGAAGTATTATAGTTGGGCCCTAGAGTGTAGTAATTGGGGCTAGAAGTATCATAGTTGGGCCTAGAATGTCGTAATTGGGGCTAGAAGGATCATAGTTGGGCCCTAGAATGCCATAATTGGACCTCAAGGCCCAACGCAGACTGACTATTTGAGGTCTTGGTGCCTCTCAATTGTTAATGTGACGGGGGAGTGGTCATAGTAAATAGTCGGTCGACGACGACGCGACGACGTAGGTTGTCAAGCCGGGATTTGACTTTTGGCTGACCGGTCCAATCTATGATGTGTTCGGTTGGTGTTTTCCGAAAATTGCATGATTGATATAGATGATTCTCTTCCTAATATATCTTATTGGTTGTTATTTTACCTTTCAGGTTCTTGAGAGGGCTCTTCAGGAATGTGGAAATGATATTGATGCTGCCATCAAGAGGCTGAACGAGCTTTGCTTGGGAAATACAGATGGAAATGAAAATTCGGAAGGATCGGATGTTGTTAATTTGGTTGCAGGTATGGTTGGTTGATGTTTGCGAATGAATGCTTAAAACCTTTATGAGAAAATTCTCCTTTTACATCGATAGGATTTTAAACTGTTAATTGATTGCTTTCTGTTAATTGTACTGGTGCACTGCTCTTCTATCCTAGCCCGGACAGGGGCTGTGGAAAAATAATGATATGAGTTGAATAAATTACGAAAAAGTTTTTTGTAAAAAAACTTAAATTCAGAATTGACCTTTTTGAGACCTCTTCAGGTAAATTGGAAGACAATGGAAATGCTTCTGTTCCTGAGGACCAGCCTACTTTGAACAACCACCTTCCTGCAGATGGAGCAGAATGGATTGACTTTTTTGTTAGGGAAATGATGGTTGCTACTAGTGTTGATGATGCAAGAGCCCGTGCTGCTAGAATGCTAGAAGTTCTAGAGAAATCAATCAGTGAAAGAGCAAGGGCTGAGGCAACTGATGCACTTCAAAAGGTTACTCTTGTAAAACCATTCAAGATTCATGTTATCGACCAAACTCTGATGTTTTGCATGTCACGGAGTGAATGTCTATTTAGAGGAACAGATCAATTGTATGATGTATGCTGTTGCCCAGGTATTGCTGAACTGAAGTGGCAGTTGGGTGATATGAGTCTGTGTGAGATTGGTTTGTTTGTGGAGGAACTCTTTTGTTGACTTAAGCTGAGGATGGTTCATCCTAATTCTTTCATTGTAATATTTTTACTTTGTTGTTTTTGTGTAATGATTCTGTGTATGGTGTTTTAGTTTCACCAGCTTGTATTGAGGAATAAGTGTTGGTTGCGAACAAGTCAACAAGAAAATAACCTCAAGCGTATCGTAGATGAGAGTGCTGTGTTAGATTTATGGACATACTTGACAAAATTAAAGAAAGCTGAGGGTATGTACCTGTAGTAGAAAAGGTAGTAGAATTTTGCTCCAATGGGGTTTGGGTGTATGTGGAGAAGATATGAAGAAGCTCCAGGAAGGATATTTAGATCAAATATAGGTTAGTCTTGTTTGTTATAGAGGTAGAGGGAGTCAAGAAAAGTTATGGGGCAAAACCATTAAGAAGGTTTTTAATGGTCAGTTTGTCTATATAATTGTTTATGATAGAGCAATATGACATTATTTGGTTCGTGTAGCAATACGTAGTAGGAAAAGGCTTGGTTTTCTGTTTGCTTGGATGTGAAGATAACACGGGAGAGACGCTGAGACTTACTGCAATGTAGTCTGTGGATCTTCTTTGAATAAACATCCAAAGTATATCGTGGCTGAATTTTCTACAATACTCTGTAGTTTGGTTTCATTAAAAGACTAATTTTTTTAGTAATGAACTTTGAGCTAAGAATTATAATGCTAAGATTGCACTCTGAGTTCTTATATATTAGGACATGGTGATTTAGGAATAAATACATAGTGTTTCTTCCCGTTTCAGCTTGTATCTTAGTGTATAATGTTTTCATTTTCAGGAAAATTTGATGCTGAAAGAGCAAATCGAAGCATTGATTAAGGAGAAAAATTCTTTCAAAAATGCTTTTAGAATCCAGCACGAACGATCTGCTGATTACGAGGTTAAGAACCAAGAGTTGCAGCATTTAAAGCAATTGGTGTCTCAATACCAGGAGCAGATTAGAACTCTAGAGGTTTGAATCAACTTTCCATCTTAATTGTTCGCAGTCACAGCTGTTCATTAGGCTAAGGATTTAATCGGTATCATCGCTCGTAGTTTGGTCTTAATTTTTAGACTCTCTTTATTGTTTAGGAGTCAATATAGCAATCTGCTATTTATATATAGGTTTATAAGTGAGAGTGCAACTTGGGCTTGTAAAGGGGAGAGGGCAAATACCTAAATATTGCATCCTACTATAAGAAATCAATTTACAAATTCAAACTGGTCCGTTATTAAATTCAGACAAACTGGATTAATGGGTAATGGTGATGAAAATCTAAAGTGTTACGCAGCCTTTTTCCTATTAATAATTGCTTTTGAGCATAATGGATGATTTCTATGACCCATTGATTGTTGACAGGTGAATACTATGCTTTGGCAATGCATTTGAAGCAGGCTCAACAGAGCAACCTTTACTGGGCATTTCCCACCTGATATCTTCTAATGGGTTGAATGTGTAAAACGTAATAATAGAGGCAGCAAATAGCTGCTTCAGCTGACTAATTATGTTTGTTATTTGTTTTCTTTCATAAAAAGGTTAATGGCTGCTGTAATTTTCCTTTTTTATAGCTTCTGTTTGTGATAGCATGGTTTCTGCTTTTATAGTATCTTATCAACACAGTATAGAATCCAACAGTATATCAATGTTTTCAGTCAAATCCTATTAGTATCATCCGTTTATCTAATCCTGCTTATATTTTTTTTTTAAAATAAGTTTAATTATACATGCTACAATCAAAATTCAAATCTATACACTGTCGAAACTGAAAACGAAACTGCTTGACTTATTCATAAAAATCGACTGTTGAATTGTATATTTATTGGCGTATTCGAGATTTTTTCTTTTTTTTTCTAGCGGATTCATGTCTCAAATATTTGAAAAAAAATGTTTTTCGTTTTAATTTCTGGTTAAATTTAAACAGCAATTATGCGATTTGAAACAGAAATACATATGCTAAAAGAATGTTTTATAATTAACAAATTAAATTACTTCAAATGACTGGAAGACAATGGAGTATTGTTTCTTAAACTAACTATAATACTTCAATTTTCATGAATTTATTAATGTTATTATCTATTTTCCGTTCTAAATTAAATTTCAGAAAATTTCGTAGCGAATCTTGAATTTCATTAGTTTTTAAACATTTATTTATCGACTGTTAAAGATATTAGGTTTATTCACTTAGTATTTTTAATTAATAAACTTACCAGCTTCTTTTTTTTTGTTGATTCATTAAACAATATATAATTGTGTTTTAACAAAGTGATATCAACATTTTATAAACTGAATCAATGTTCATAATTATCACCACTTCTAATTATATTTAAATGTTTCTTGTTGCTAAAAAATAATAATAATTAAACTTTTGAATCTATCAAACTAAGACTAATAATTCAAATCCATCATACAAACACACTCTCTCTATAGATTTTCTTAAAATGATCTAATAATATTCAACCAATTAGATCACAAAAATCTAAAAAAACACAAATAAAAGTGGGAATGAAATCCATTATTGAACAAATGATTGAATTAACAAAACAAAACATAAGAAATATAAGAGAATAATAGTAATATCATTAATAGTATTAACGATAGTAATAATAGTACACTGTATAATAAATTAGAATCAGAAAAGCAATAAAAAAATAAAAGAACTTATAGATCAAACTTTGTGAACTAAAATGGATATAATATATAGTAATAGATATATATTATATAATGATATTATATAAATATATAGCATAATATATATATATATATATTAACTCTCAGCATTCTCAAGAACAAATCAAATAAAATAAATTGTAGAAAGAATTACAAATGACGACTACCATTTGAAGAATAAAAAATTGTCACTTGAATATCAAGATAAAATTAAAAAAAAATATATTAAAACCTTTCTATAAAGACTCTAGGTGAAAGGTGAGAAAAACATAACTCGTTTATATTTTTTCTTCAATAAATAAGTTCGCAATAGACATGATATCTAATAAAAAAATTAAAGTCAAAATTTAACTTCCTGAAAACAAACATTCTAATACTATTAATCATATAAAAAAACAACACAATTTTTAATTCCTAAAATTTCTAAAATAAAAAATGTTTAATTTACTTAATGGCAAGACAGGATTTGTATGCAAATAAAGAAACACCTAGTCTTGTTCTTTTCTTCTTAGAGTCCCTCACTAGTCTTAGATCATTGAATTCCTTGAATGATCTCTTCTTTATCCTTGTCCTCCTCCTCATCTCTCCAGCTGCACGAGTAACAGAACATCACACCTAACTCGTGCACGAGTTAAAGGTAGCATCTCAAATACTATGCATAATAGCATGAGACAAGAAATCAAGTGTCTATGTTGATTCTTGTAGAAATAAATAACACAACTGCAAAACCCAAGAGAATCAGGGAACTAAATATAGTAGCATCTTGATCATGAAATCTGATAATGTGTTGTTCTGGCAGGCATGGTTTGACGTATTCTCTGTCCCCAACATATAAATCACCATTCTAGGTTAAATGGTGTTGCTGTTCATTTTTGTTAAAACTGGAGGAGATGCGCAAGAGTATTTAATGAATGGAATCTCACGGTCAGTTGCACTGAACAATTCAGGAAAACTCAGTGAAACTTTCCATAAAGATGGTACTATAATATTATTTAAATAATATTCAACAGAGGCAAATTCGTCCCACCACTATCCTACATTGACAGTTCAGACTTCCATACACTGAATATTTATAAGGGCAGTAGCAACACTCACACAATCTTCTAATTCTAATATCTCTACACAAGCGCAAAACAGCTTTCATCAAATTTCTTGTTTTAATCTTTTCATCATTTGCTAAAATCTAGAGGTCAAAATTCATTCTAAAATTAATTTCATCAGTTGATTCTTGCTGTGAATACAAGATTGAGAACGCTCTAATGACCATCAAGTGTTGCCAAGGACTCGTTAAGGAGCCGTCGTGCTTCCTCTCTCCTCCTGCAAATAGCGAGATTACCTTAGAAAAAAGGCCAATGACAAAATCAAATCAAACACCATTTCGTCCCTAGAAGATTTGGTTCGATAACCTTTGTTCCAATAAATTGCGAATACCATTTTCATTTTTAAGGGCGGAATCAGTGTAAAAAAGATAACATTAAACTTATAACTTCTTCCATCCTTCCCTCCTAATATTCATGGTTTATACAGTAGATGAATTACTAAATCTGATAGGATATGTAATGTATTGACAGTTTTGTAGCGCATTGTTAGATAGTTTGGGGAAAAATAACACTAGAAAGTTGTAGAAGGGTGGTAGGGGGAATTATGGGGAGTTAACAGCATGTTGAGGGAAGTGTTTCATTAGTAGTTAGGCAGGTTTTTTGTCTCTTAGTAAGAGGGGGGGTTCTAGTCTGTGGGTGGAGTGTATTTTTATGTCTCAGACAGGGGCTTGTCTGTGTAGACGGAATTGCCTTCCCTTGGAGCAGCGTTGGATGTTTTCTTGTTTATGTTTTTCCAGATAGAGTGTAAATACATTGTGCAGAGATTTGGAGTGCCGATTCTTTACGAATCTGAAAATCGGTTTCTTGTTCCCAAGAAACAACAAAATCAGACAAATACATAACAAACGTTGTGTGGCAAGTCTCCAAACAAATAGGAGGAATCTCATGAAAATGCTAAATGTCGTCTCCTAACAGTTCATATTTCTCCCCTGTCACAACTGACTCGAATGTTTTGAAGGATCAAAATCGCGCTTTACGCTGACAAGATATATCAAAATTTGTGGCCCAATCATGGCATTAGTAATATAGAAAGAAACTCTGGTATCTGTCAATTTTCACCAAGCAATGTAGATACAAGGAAAAAGAAGGTAAAAAGTCTGTCTAGCTAACCAATCTTCTAGCGACAAATACCACAACAAAACACTACCTGATAATGTTAGGAAATTATAGTTTCACCTCCCCCTTGTAGCATTTCCCTCCTATCAAGTTATGTTTACTGGCCTAACAATCATCGTTTAGACCAATCAGTTTCCAAGCATCACCAACCCTTTTGTTTTGCTAGCAGCTCATGCTAACTAACCAAGAACATTGAAATTGGTCCTCTATGTTCGCAAATTTAGAAGACGGTTGTAAAAAAAAAAATTGACTGTCTCCATTGCATGGCAGCAATGCACAATTCTTAACAATGCAACTACTTCTCATGGTCTCCAGGGTTCAAGATCATGCGAAGTATCATTGTAAGTGTATTTTAATGAGTATAGTTTAGTTCTGAAGTAAGGATGTATGGGTATATGAACGTAGGAGGGTTAACTCTGACACAAGTTAGCGGTTTCTACTAAAGATGGCTGCTAGGGTCCCACATGGAGTAGCCTTGAGCACGTACCACCACAAGAACATGTGTTGTTGTCAGCATGTTAACCATTATATAAACGTTACCTAGAATTAATTTTAATACTGGATGGAGTTTTTAAATATTCAAACTAAAAATCACCCTCAAACAAAAAACTAAACATTGAAAATCTGGTTGAAAATCTGAAAGTGACAACTAAATCCTGAATGAGGCCCTACTTACAAAAAAAAACGCGATCTGTTCCTTCCTTCTGAGGATTGTTTGTCATTATGTGATAATATCTACATCGCATGTATACTAAAATATCGCTGGACGCTGTTATTATCTATCCAAATAAGAGTTACCAACCCATTAAGTCCAGGGTATACTTTCTTATGTCAACCCATAACATATATACGTATATACTTGTGGTGGAGTCCTCCACGCTCCTGTTTACGGCGTGGTACTGAAGTGTCCAAAATTGAATGCACGAGTGGCTTCGCCTAAAAGTAAGATACAAATAATTAAAATCCCAGACAACGGAAACAAACACGCAGCATGCCGTCAACACGGCACGCGATTGCCTGAGACTTAATTGAAGAACAAAATATACCGGAGAGACGTAGATGAATGAAAAGGTGAGTGAAGTTTGGTGAATACAGTAGAAATGTTCTTCAACGCTCCTTGCATACTGTGAGAGTCCTCAATGAAGAATCTCAGAAAGCCCAGGACATGTAGCTGCAACCCCATTGGGGTGGAACCTAGCTCGCTTTGAAACTGAAGAAGAGCGGGAATCTTTACTAAAGGAGGAAGGTAAAGATTTAAAAAAAAAAGCTGTAACGGTGATGTAGCATGTAGTAGAACACTGACCCGGCCGGAAATGTACCATTTTAGGGCCATGGATTCATCATTAGAGCAGGAAAATTACGGGAAGTAGAAGACTAGGGACATTGGCACAACAGGTGCGCAAAAAACAACATCCGCTATTAAGAATGGATAGGGAATAGATACCCAACTTAGTTAAATTCGTGCAGAGAAGTTGGAAATGGACACGTATCTATCAGGTTGGTGCCTTAGGATCGCTTGCTCATAAGAAATAGCCAAAGATGATGAAAGGGACATGGGAGTATTTTGGGCAACATAGTACCTATGGCAACAAGTGTACAAACAACCAAACGGGAGTGACAACATCTACGAAGCAAGGATTCGCAGCAAGCATGCAAGTAAAGCAAGGTTCATAATGGATACTCCAGCTCTTTGGAGGAAGAAAGGAAGTCATATCAGTTTACTATTCTCTGGAACGATCTTTCCACTGGAAATATTGAGAAACAATCAGATAGA